GCTGTAATTTTTTCTAGTAATAATTCTTATAGCTCTCTTCTGTAAAATGAAACTAGGATTTGTGATAGTTTTATATATGTTTTTGTATAATCTCATGTAAGCAGACGAGTCAGATGTCAGCTGTAATCCCTTCCTGTTTGTTGCAGGTAAAATCATCGACATCACTGTACATGAAGTCCTGAGAGAAGAACGTCTGAAGGAGATGCACAAAGCTTCTGTTTATGATCTGGATGGACAAACTGTGGACAGAAAGTTCAAAGAGTTCCTCAGAGAAATATTCTCTGATATCTGGGATGAATATGAACAGAATCATTCCAGTGAGCTTCAGAAACTGATGTATGAGTTTACCCAACAGAACCAGTGTGATGAAGGYGTTTCGATCAGCTGCCCAGTAAATCTGGGAATGTTGGCTCTGAGAAGACAAGATATAGGAAAGTTCTTTGAATCAGTGGAAGGAGCTTCCTGGAAGAAAGGATATATCAGCGTCTCAAAAGATAAACTGATTTCTTTCTATGCAGAGTATCTTCAAGGCATCACTGAGAAACTTAGAGAAATCCTACAAGGTTTCAGGCCTGATTAYATTCTGTTGGTGGGGGGCTACGCTAACAGTCCGGTTCTCTGTCAGCACGTTATTGATCAGTTTGGCAGACAATGTAAAGTTTTGTGTCCTCACAGACCCCAGGAAGCCATCCTGAAGGGAGCTGTAGAGATTGGAAAAAACCTGTCAAGAGGCCCAGCAACTCAGGGTGTCAACGGTATTGGAACCAGACCTAAGGAGTCTTCACTTGACCCCCTACAGAGGAAGGAACGTGAAAGGAAAAGAAGCCATAAGAGAAGAAATGAGACCCGACAGGAAAAAAGGATGAGACGAGAGGGAGGAGGTGAAATGATTTGAAGTTAATCAATTTTAATGCTGGCAAAAATACATATGTAACCTAAAATAAGGATTATGCTTAATGGCAATGAATGATTAACTAATGTACTATGATTATTGTGTTTTTAAATGTAAATGGTGATTAGGATAGAAAGGGATCTAAGTATGTTTTAAAGTATGTCCTAATGTAAAGGCAGATTGAATGTGTGAGTGCTGCTCTGGTAAAAGGCAGGGCGTCTCTCAGGGATGTTGAAACAACAAAGAAGTGGACATTAACACCACAGAAAAAAGTCCCTAAAAGCCCCAAAAGCAGGAAGACAAACAGAATTACCTCACTCTGGCGAGTACTGAGAAAACACATGACAGATGTCCACACACTTCCTCAAACAGAAGGGAGGGAGGCGAGCACACACAAAGAGAGGATAAAAGGCCGAGCAGTCCAACAGTAAAGTGTCTTCATGCCATCGACCGGAGGAAGAACAGCAAAGGCAGCAGGACATCAAGAGCAGAAGAAGCAAGCAGAACCGAAGATCATCTCATCTGGGCAGAAGCTGACAGACAGTCTAAGGACCGAAGACCGAATTGGACCCAGCCCAACTCTGAGAAGATCTTTTCAGGCAACACTCTGATGCACCTCATGGGGGTAAAACTGACTGCTCTAACCTGTCCTCCCTTCTCTAAATTACCAGAAAATGCCACACTTCTTAATTGGGAAGATAGTTCAGCAAGTTATAGCTTTTTATTTTCATCACCATCAATTACTAATCAATATATTTAATCTGTATAATCAAATGTGGCAATTCTTGCAAATTCCTATTAAACTGCTTACAGCATCATAAAGACAAATTATCTGACTGGACATTGATACTTTAGGTTGTCCTTTAATGTTTTTTTCTGATTACATGAGAGTTTTGTGACGGTAAGGCTACAAGGTAATAACATATTAAAGAGTATGTTTGCTTTGAAGCTAGAGGTAATAAAAAAGATGTCACAGATCACAATAAAGTTAATTTTTAATAGTCATTAGCCAGAGGGGAGATAGGATAACTCCCCTCTTTAACAGTTCCCTTGAGACCTATTTTAC